GGAGCGGTTTAAGAAGTTGTGTTCTAGTTGCCCACAACATGGGCTAACCGAACAAACACTCATTCAATACTTCTATGAAGGATTATCTCCCCTGGAAATGAAGATGATCGATGCTGCTAGCGGTGGAGCCTTGGTGAATATGACTCCTACCGAGGCTAGAGACTTAATATTGACGATGGCTGCAAATTCCCAACAGTTCCGCGCAAATAATGAACCTTCTCGAAGGGTTCATGAGATAAGTTCATTTTCATTGGAAAGTAAAATAGATAAGTTAACTGAAGTCGTAAACTCTCTTGTTGCAGGAAAGACAGGACAAAACCGAGTATGTGGAATATGTGCATTGCCTGATCATCCAACAGATGGTTGTCCACTGATTCAAGACGATGCAACAGCTCAAGTCAACGTAGTCGGAAACTTCCCGGGACCTCCCCAAAGAAGTTATAATCTTTATGGTAATACATATAACCCAGGATAGAAGGACCATCCGAACTTCAGTTATGCACAGAACCCGAGACCGAATCAAGGCTATCAAGCGAGACCTCCACCACCGCAACAACCGCAGAAGTCATCATTAGAATTGATTGTCGAGAGGTTAGCACTATCCCAGGAGAAATTCCAGACTCGAACTGAAACCCACTTCCAAGAGATGGACAAGCAATTGAGCCAACTGGCTCAAACCGTGGGGAGATTAGAGTCACAAAGGAGGCTACCATCACAAACTGAACCGAATCCAATAGAGAATGTTAGCGCCATCACCCTCCGAAGTGGTACAATTGTTGAACAACCAGACCCTAAGGAGGTAAGCGCAAGATCCCGGAAGAAAGAAGAAGATTCGAACTCCCAAAGTGAAGAAGAAGCAGTTGACGCAGAATCCCAGAAAGAGAACGATGAAGAACAAACGGACGATCCGAAGCCATCTCCCTACGATGTGCCACCGCCTTTTCCATCAAGGTTAGTTAAAAAGGATAAAAAAGTTGAGGAAAAGGAAATATTAGACGTACTTCGGAAGGTAGAAGTTAACATATCTCTCCTCGAAGTTATCCGGAAAGTTCCAAGGTATTGTCGGTTTCTGAAGGATATCTGTACGACTAAAAGGAAGCTCACCGGGGTCGAGAAAGTGGATTTAGGCGCGAACGTCTCAGCAGTTTTCCAACGACCACTTCCACCGAAGTATAAAGACCAAGGTATGTTTTCAATACCTTGTAAAATTGGTGAGGTTAAAATCAAGCGAGTTATGTGCGATCTAGGTGCCTCTATCAATGTAATCTCTCCGTCTATAATTTAATTTCCACCAAGCCTTTGAAGGAGACGAGAGTTACACTTCAGCTAGCCGACAAATCAATAATTTATCCTGAAGGACTCATAGAAAATGTTCTAGTGGAGGTAGAAAACTTAATTTTCCCTGCTGATTTTTATGTGATTGATATGGAAAATGATTGTAGCAACATTGGTTCTGAAATCCTCCTCGGTCGTCGTTTTCTGAGCACGGCAAATGCAAAGATTGATGTTCGAAGCGGTATTCTTACTATAGAGTTCGATGGTGAGATCTTAAAATTTGATGTCTATAAAGCAATGAGATATCCGGATAACGTTCATAGTATTAATTTTGTTGGCATTTTTGAACTTGTTGATGATGAATCTAACTTTGTTGACGATTTATGCAAGGAATCAGATGATAAAAAAGACGACATAAGGGAGTTGAAAAATATTTCAGCTGTTGATTCAAATTTGATATCAACTCCTTTAAAAACTAAAGATTTACCTTCCTTTTTGTAGGCACCAAAAATTAAGTCGAAATCATCAAGGAGCCATTTGAAGAAATCTTTTTTTGGTAAAAAAGATGTTTTGACAGCCATTCTTCTGGACAAGTTTTTAAAATTGGGAAATATCCGAAGAAATCTTTGTGAGAATTTTCAAATTTCTCATAAGAAATTTCTTAGTTGGAGAAAGCGAATGAAGCGGAAGTGTTTGTCACGAAACCTGTAGTCTGAACCAGGTCGTCAAGCTAATGACGTTAAATAAAGCGTTTCATGGGAGGCAACCCATTGTTTTCAATTCCGTTATATTTTTATTTTTTCTTTTATTTTTTTTCCCGATTAAGCATATTTTATTTAATTTTGCAGGAATTTCAAACTTAAACAACAAAGAATTGAGAGATTATCGTCCGAACAATGCCAAATTCTACCCCTAGGAGCATGTAACGGTGCACGTTAGCACACTTCTAAGGAGACCGGTCGACAGTAAATCCGGGGAGTACTCTGTTCCTTCTCTTGCACTTTAATTTTTTTTTTCCGTTTTGAGGCAAAACGCTTTAAGTGAGGGGGAGTAGAGTGTAGGATTGAATTTCATTTCGCTTATCTTTATGCTTTGAATCTAGTATGTGTTGGTTGAATTGGTCGGAAATTTCATTAATTATCTTTGTCTTGTTGAAATTTTTTGGAATGCTATGCTTGCTTGGGAACACATAATTGTTTAGGTTAGGATATTCTTGATAGCGAATAGCATGAATTGTGATAAGTTGGTATTTTTGTGATATTCCATGACTTTGTTGGTTGAAATGTGATTAGCTCAATGCATGAAACAATTTGGTGAGATTTGAGCCTTTACGAGCATATCATTTTCGCTCTCATTTTGTTTGATTGAGTGTGTCGAATTTGGCATTGGTATTCTAGAACTTGCATGTTAAATACTGTCGAGATTACACATGAACATGATGCTTAAAAATGATTTGGGCACCTTAGGATTAACCATTCCGTTTCCCCACTAAATAGCCTACCCATGCATATTTTCCCTTAGTTAAACACTTTTGAGCCTATTCCCGCTTCTTTGTTTTCACCATATTCATAAACCCGAGCCTTTTTATTTTATCCCTCTTTTCTACCTTTTTCAGGGCAAGTGAATAATTTTTACCATTTTATTCTCCATCGAAAAAAATGTTGAATGAAAAAAACAAAAAAAACAAAAAGCAGCTGTTCGAAAAAAGAGAGACTGTTCGAAAGAAAAAAAGAACACAAAAAAAGACGTGAAAAAAAATGCAAGACAAAACAACAAAATTGTGAAAAATGCATTTCGATAAGAAATTTGTTGTTTGATATTTTGTTTTTTTTATCTTGTTGTGCTTAATGTTTTGATGGAGTTGAGATTATTATTTGTTAGTTCCTTGCCTTGAACATTTAGCCTTATGTTTAGCATTTTCCCCACCTTTACCTAAGCCCCGTTACAACCAATAAAAGACCCTTTGATTTATGCATCTTGTTCTTATTAGTAGTGGAGATTTGATTTACTTACAGGCTTATGGTAATACTGTGTAAATTCTGACATTGAGCGTTTCTTTACCCCAAACACATGGAGTGATTTGAGTGAATCCCGGTAAGGTATTGAGTTATGAGCATTGAAATTAATGAATGAATGGATATTACAATTGCACTTGACTTGTTCTAATTGGTGATGTTCAATTGATTGATTTCTTGACTTGAATAGTTATTGTGGTCTCTACCTTGCTTCCCTAAATGTGAAACTTGAGAAAGAACGTTTAATGAAGTTTTTGACTGATTTGGTTAATCATACTTGAGGACAAGCATGAGATAAGTGAGGGGGAATTTGATGAGTGTTCAGAATAGTTAATATTTGCTCGTTATTTCTTCGATTTTGTGGATTTATTGCTGTTGATTTGGTCATGTTGTGCTTGTTTTCGTACAGGTCATTGTTTTCCAGAATTTGTGACAAAACGGGCGAATTCTGCATTTTTTATTATTTGGTCACGGCTGGAGACATAGGCACGACTCTGGGCACGACGCGGTATGACGTGGCAGTTTCTAGAAGGTCCAGTCAGCGGCGGTTTCTAGAAGACTTCTTCCGCACGCCTTCTGGAAGATTGACGAGTAGAGTCGCATTAGGAGACTAGTTTAAGTTTGAATTTAAATTTAAAAACAATTATCTTTTATATTATTTTATTATTTTCTTTGCTTATCCTTTAGGCTTTGAGAGGCTATAAATACCCACTTGGGGTAAGCATAAACTCATCATTCAGAATACATTCTTCTTTTCTCTCTAGTTTTTATAAAAGTTTTCTCTTTTTCTTTTCAAGTTTTTTTTATTTTTCTTTATTTTCAAGTTTTATTTTTATGCTAAGTATGACTTTTGTCATGCTTAGCTAAACTTTTCATAAGCCGAGAGCTGTCGCGATGATTCAATTCCAACGGGAGAATTGAAACGGTCCCTTAATATCTTCGGAATCTCTCTCTCAATCTCTGCGCTTATTTTTCAAAATCAAAACAGTTTTCAAAATCGAAGATTGACTTTGGTCAAGAAGTTGTTGCGATTAAACGTGTGGGAGGAAGATTCGGCTTATAGAAAGCAATTCGACTTCCTGGGAACACACTTGGCGAGATAGCTTCGCCAAGAGGGAATTGAGATCAGAATTGACGGTTATAGAAACAACAATCCGAGTCGGTCGCCACGAACTTAAACGGTATTTGATCTACGACAATAGATGTTGTTAGAATCAACTACCGAAGCCGGAATCAAAGATTGCCTTGGGTATTCGGTATACAAGATAGTGTCACAAGGATAGCCCTTGTAGACAAAGTAACCGACGTGAATCCCGAAGAGAAAATCTTATTCGATGATCTAAAGGAAATTGAATCAAAGCGAAGCTTGAGGCTACTTTTACCGTATTTATTCACAATCTTCATCTTCTTATTTTTTCTTTAATTACTTTTATTTAATCACTTTATTATCTTTTACTAAAATCCCCCCATTTTTACTGTTTCACGCCTGTCATAAATAATTCAGACAGAAATTTATAATTTTCTAAGTCCCTGTAGAATCGACACTTACTTCTCTTTGCTACGCATTTCCTTAATTTATTGATTGGGAATAATGAATTATTTGACATCCGAAACGACAGCTGTCAGCCGCATTAGCCAATGGCCAATTAGTCTACTAGTGTGGACTGTAGCTTCTTCGTTTACACTTTATCTGTCGGTTTGTCCATTTCTTACTGCCACTTTTCAAAGTTCTCTCTCACGAGTCACAAAAAGAATTCAAGGTTAAGAGATTTGAGTGTAAGAGTTGTTGGAGATGAGTGAAAAGTAAGACGATGATAATGGAATGGGATCAACAGCAAGAGAATCAACTCCAAAACCAGAGGGAAGAAAACGGAGTAATGTATGTCAAAGTGATGACCGATGAGCAGTTGGAGACTCTCCGTAAGCAGATTGCTGTTTATGCCTCCATCTGCGAGCAGCTGGTCGAGATGCACAAGAACCTCACTGCCCACCAAGATCTTACAGGTACCCCTCCGTTTCTCTCTTCCTTTTTGTTCATCTTACCTTGGATCTACCCTCTCTCAGTCAACATGAAACTTGTGACTTCCCCTTTGTTTTAGCTCTTCTTTCTGTTATCTTGGATTTTGGGTACTGAAAAACTCATGTTTGGGGGCAGGCGGGAGGCTGGAAAATCTGTATTGTGACCCTTTAATGACATCCGGTGGACACAAAATCAGTGCCAGACAGCGGTGGACACCAACAGCCGTGCAACTTCAGATTCTGGAACGTATTTTCGAGGAGGGGTCGGGAACTCCAAGCAAGCAAAAGATCAAAGAGATAACCTCAGAACTGAGCCAGCACGGCCAAATTTCTGAAACCAATGTGTACAACTGGTTTCAAAACAGACGAGCAAGATCCAAAAGGAAGCAAGTAGTAGTGGCTGCATCCTCCAACAACAAAAATGGTGCCGAATCAGAGGTAGAGATCGAAGTGGAGTCACCAAAGACAAAGCCGGAGAATCTTCTTCTCCTACCTCAAGCTCAACAAGATGCGTGCTTTCAGAACCCAGATATAACCTCTCAACTGCATTTCTTGGGCGGCAGCTACCACATTTATGACCAGCATGCATGGCAGGGTGAGTGAGAAAGCTAATACATACATTCAAAATGAGATCAAACTGTTGAGTTGGAAATGGACGTTTATAGTATGAATTCAGTGAGAATTTTACGCTGCTTTTTCATTTTAATCTTGTGAAGAAATCCAGGAATGTGGTTGGTTGTTCATGAAATTATGAGAAATGCTTGATTTTGTTTATACTAAACATCATCTCAAATTAATTCTTTCAGAACTTTAGGATTAGTATATGTTTTGGCTCCTACATTATAATGAAAATAACTAAAAAAAATTATTTAATTTTGAAACCCACCCTCATCACTTCTAATCCCTATATATATATAAAAAACAAACTGGATTACATGATTGTGTTAGAGATTCACTAAACATTGCAAATAATAAATAGAAGTATTAACCAACCTCTATATCTCAAGAGAAGCAAAATGAAAGATCTTTGGGAAAGTTCTTCCTGTTTATTAGTTTAAGGTTTTAACTGAAGATCAGAGTATATCGTTGGGACAAAGAGTCGAATCTAAAATTTTCTATTCAACCGGTTTTTTTTATAACCGAGTATTTGATTTATTAATCAACTATTTCATATTAGGTTTTTAGGAGGCTCGTTATGAGGGTGATATTCTCAACACATTTTACTCCTTTTAAAAATATCAGAATTCAAACTATTGATTTTACTTAAAGGATTAGTGCTTTTACTACTAGATTAATTAGTTGTTGGTCCAAAAATATTAAGACTTTTGATTTAGTTCATAAGTGTTTTTCTTTTTTAATCTTGAAACGATACTGAATTTTATTAAACAAAAGAAGATACGACCTTAATAATGGGGTTAATCAAAGAGATAATTTTAGGAACTATGTCTATTAAAAACTCAAACATAAAATAAAAACTCAAAGGCACAATAACAATTTCGAAATTGACGTCCATCATTCATTGTAACCCAATAATCGTTAATGTACTCATTTGGCACTATATAACTAGACGCTTTAGAGATGATGATGTGACAATCAAACCAAAACAAATCTACAGGTTGCTTCGTAAATTAGATCTGAATACATCAACAAACAATCACATAAGGATAATCTAGCTACCGAAAGACCACCAACAATCGCAAATCAAATACAAGCGATGTGAGAATCTCAACACGATCACATATCTATCATAGAGTTAAAATGTGTCAAAAAGACAGATGAACATACGTAAAATACAAGAAAAGTAAGGAGTGAAACAAAAGAGATTTTTTATTAAAAATTACAATAAAATTGAATAAAAACAACAAATTAAAACAAAAATATAAAAAAAACAATGATAAATATGAACACTGATAATTGAGGATCAACACTAAAATTGATGTCCAACCAATAAAATTAGATAGTGTTTTTCTAACATTATTTTTTGGGGTTAAATTTCTAGTGTTTGGGAATACTCATTATGATACTAAAAGCATTCTCGGACGAACCCTAAAATTATTATTATATCAAATTTTATTATCAGTTTATTTAATTTTTAACAGTGGAATGATTTAATTGTAGGGTACAATTCACAAATGGTCTCCTGATTATAGGGTGATGCTTTATTGAGTCCTTTGATTATTGAAAGTTGTAAAATGGTCTCTCGACTATTGGATGTTATTTTGTTGAGTCCTTCAACTATTAAAAGCAATAAAATGATCATCCGACTATTCATATGTTTCAAATTTGTCATTTTATGTTAAAAATTGGTAGTTGTTTGAGATAGACATTAACATGTTGACTAAGATATGATAAAATCATATTTTAATAATGCCTACCGGTACTGTCATTGCTTTCAAGCACTGGCTCGACAATATAATCTTTCAAGCACTGGCTCGACAATATAATCTTTCAAGCACTAGCTCGACATTATAATGTAAACATAGAGTCGAACCATAAATACAATTCAAATGGTTATGGGATCAAATTTTATCATATCCTAGTTAATAGGTTAATGTCCAACTCAGATGACTTTCAATTTTTAACAAAAAATGACAAATTTAGAATATATGAATAGTCGAGTGACAATTCTATTACTTTTAATAGTTGGAGGACTCAACAAAGTAGCGTCTTATAGTCGAGGGAACATTTTATAAGGTTTAATAGTCATAAGACTCAACATAGCAATGCCCTATAGTTGGGGGACTACTTGTTATACTTTTAATTTTAATTAAATGGCACTTATTAAATTTTGAAATTGGGTGATCTATTTGTTATCAGACTAATGCAAGAGTTATTTAATGCATTTTACCCAGTTTTAACCACAGATAATTTATAATTTTTCTTCGCCCTTTACATCTATATAGATTATTAATGGCTAAAGTATACTAATGGTCACTACACTATGTTCAAATAATTATTTTAGTCATTAAATTTTTAAAAAATAAAAATAAGTATATATATTAAATTATTACAAATTGATCACTATAATATTATAATAAACGTAAAACTTTGATAAATTTAATGATTATTTATGAAAATTAAATAAAATTTAATAGCTTTTAAAAGTTTTATAAAATTTAATGATTAATTTATAATAGTTTAATAAATTTAAAAAGAAATTATACCTTTTAAAAATTCAGTGACTAAACTAATCATTTAAATATAGTCTAATATATCTAATGTACTTTGTCATTTAAAAGTTATTTACCCTCTCTTTCTTTCTTTAACCACCGCTCTAGGTTTCGGCTCCATCGCTCACCCATCGCCGCCGCGAGCTCAGACTCGACGATTCATTGAACCTGTTTGCGGTCTGAAGAATTGATTTAATTGGTAACCTTTTAAGTTTGCCTCTCGTTTTTTAAGCTTTGAGAATCTTCATTTACAAACAAAAAAAAAAAACCGGATGGGGAGGATCTCAATGGCTTACATACACGAGGGTGAATGGCCTCCTGGGACAGTTGACATTCACATCGTTAAAAATGGTCTTCGAAAGGCTGTCCTTGTAGCTATTCTTCTTCTACCATTTGCCTGCATTTTCCTCTCTTTCAGGGTATGGACTCTGGACTGTCAATTTATTCGCAGCACTCTTCTTCTTTAATAATCTATTCTTGACTTCCCTTTTTCTTTTATACTATGACTATGAGTTATTGGGGAAGTAAGGAATTGCCAATCATGAATTTTGGGAACCTAAATAAAATTATATTTCTATTGTTATAATGGTTTTCTGCTTGAAGAGCAATATTCTGGAAATTAACTCCACTATCTGGTCATAGTATCTCATACATTGAGTGAATGGATATAACAGGAAATTTCAGCCACTCTTATTTTGTGGAGATTGTTGCTAATTGGACACTTTGTCCTATTATTGTTATTGCTTTGGAACCCGGTTCACAAAGGTGAGACCATTTTTCAGCCGGTTGCCTTTGTTATCTGATGTGTTGAACTTTTTTTCAATTCATCAAGTGGAAAGAATGAGATTGATAGTTATATTCTTTTAATCCATTTTATCAAGTTTTTTTATTTTTAAGCTTTCAGAGTCTGTCATCATAATGCCAGCCTTTGGAGTTCAGCTTGAAACTCACTATGCAAGGTAACTAAAACATGTAATTCTCCGAGAATGAATGTTAAATACGTATGTAACTACATGTTCTACTGTATACCATGAATATACAGAAACATTGTTTTAATTTTTTCTTTTTCCTTTTATTTTTTATACTATTAGAATGTTAAAAAAAATCGAAGTTGATGGCCAGATTATTTCCTGACTTGATTTTTCTAACTTCCTCTTTTGATCATAAAATAAGACTGTATGTAAGGGAACATATGTTGTCACTCTGTATCATAATTCGTGATCTAGGTTGTTATTCAGCACTTAGGGTTTAGTTGTTCTTCCATCCAATTTCAGCATTTCACATTGCACTGTCCCAGACTTGCAAGTAGTTCTCAGGCATTTCTAGCTTTCCTTCAATAGACTTGCTCATTCTCCTCTCTTATGTTTAATCAATACTCGTGAGTAAACCCTTGAGATTTTAAATTTTTTTGGTCACTGACTTTTACAAAATAGTTGTTGTACTAGCGCCAATACCAATGTTATTATTTCATCTTCTTTTTATTTATTTATTTATTTTGTTGTAGTGGAAGAATCATCCGCAGATTTATTCCTGCTGGTGAGATTTTGAAATCTGTATTATTAGAATGTGTTACCCCAGTAACTTGTTACTGGAGCCTCTCTTTACTTGTGCGTGGGAAGGAAGAGCTGGTGTTGGTGTTCAAGGTAAAACACCTGAATTTCAATTTCTGTTGCTTACTTTGGAAAATATAGGGGGGATATATACTGCTTATATCTTAAACAGGGTAGTCAATCACTAATTGTGAGGATATCAAGGAATAGGAGAATTTTGTTGGGAGTGTCTGTATGTGTTGTCATATAGCTAATATAGTAGTTTTGGGTTTAATTGAGGCATAAAACTTGGTTGTGTGTGAAGGAGCTACGCCCTCCGATGAAGATGTTGCTTCCCGTATGGAAGGCCTTGTGTTCTAGCATGGAGAACAAAGAAAGTCCAGTCACATGTGGGGAAGGTGAAGGTGGTTGATTTCAAGACAACGTAAGTAAGAAAAGAATTATACGGAAACACATCAATTAGCGAAGAATACATCTGGATCGATTGCTGCAAGTGTAGAGAAAGAGAGGAAAATGCATTCACATCAGAGTTAAAACAAACTACCCCATTCTTGTAGAAGAGGATGAGCATTAGAGATTATCAGCAAGTTGTCAGTTGCAAAAGGAAACAGTGGATGGCCTTTACAAATGTGTGTCCCCCCACCTTTTTACTGATTTCCTTTTGGTTTGTTTCATTTGATATCCAAAAGGGTTTAGGTTTAGGGTTTACTATATTTTTAGTAAGCAGGGCAAGTGTATTGAGAATTCAACAAGAAACGATACCCTTTTAACTTATATCAGAGTCTGAGAATAACATTATGCTGTTTAGGCCGGTACATGTATTTATGCGTGGAAAAATGATTGGTTTCAATTTTAAGATTGACATGATAATGTGCTTTCATGTTTGTGAAATGTTAAAGGTGTAGTAGCATATAATTGATTATCACACGGGTTAAAAAAGAGGCCTGAACCTGAAGTTCTTTTATGTTTTCTTCTCATGGCACCAAGAAAACGATTAAAACCTGACACATCAAGGAAGCAAGGGGTATGATTCTACTTATACTTTGAGATGAGAGAGTGAGAAAGGCCATCATTCTAATCCTTACAGCAAACACCCAAGAACGATGCATGGAGAAGAATTACAAATATGGTATAATGTTTGCAACATTCTTTTTACTTGCAATGACCCTATTGTGTTTATAATACATCCGGGGGGTTGAAGAAAGAACAAAAGGGACTCAAAGCACGCACTTATTACTACTAGTGTTAAAAAAAGATAGAATGAGAGAATGATAGTGAAAGAATTTGTCAATTGCCCATCTTGGATAATTCTTCTGTGCCCAGAAAGCTGAAAGCCAAATTTGATGCCAAGCCGCCAACTTCTCGCAAGCTTTAGAAACTAGGTTAGTAAAATCACTCCAATAACCCAATTGCCTAAACAACTCAGCTTAGCACGTTAGTTTGTTATTCCATCAGCTGCTCTTAACCACAAGCTGGCTCGTTCAAGGCTGACTCTTTGTCGATATAGCCCATGCCATAACTCCCTCGGTTCGTCACCTCTCACTTGCATCTTAGCTATTTGCTTATGCAATGCCTCCAAATTCACAAGCAGGGCTGTCGTTGGTCACCCATGAGCACACTGCATGATATTGTTTTGACATTTAGTAAGGAAACAGGAGGATTTCTCTCACTTGTGTACACAAATGAATGCATACATGCACGAAATGTCAGTGATCAAATCTGGAGGGAAAAACACTTGTTGTGGTGTATGTAACTCACTTGGAAGCACAATGAGGTCTTTTTGAGCTCTTCAACAATTAAGGAACATTCTGAAGGAAGTAAGGAGTCTCCGAACATAATTGCACCTTATTGATGAAAGCATGACAGGAAGTTACTCAAAGTTAGCCAACTTGTAATGAAGGACACGATATCATCCGCATATTAATGAAGGCTATGCAAGTAGCTAAGAGTTGGAGTTCTAAATAGACAAAAGACCCACAAAATACATAGATATCTCTACAGCTACACTAGAGAAGTCTCACTTGGCCTAGCATTCGTGCATATAGAGGCATTTGCTCAGATAATTATTGTGTTGACCACTCTAATAATGTATTATATAAAGAATAAAACTCCCTCCCACATGGATAAGATTTGAATTTGATTCCCACACTTGCCATTTCTTAGCGAGATCAGGCATTTACCTCGGCATGCTTTGCAATTAAGGATGCGACTAACTGATGGAGGCATTGTTGATGATACATCCGTATCAGCAAGCTACGTATCATAAATACAAATTAAGTGTTAGAAATTAAATACCTTTACCAACAAGTTAAAGGGAAAGGATAAGTAGGATGTAAATGTCCTAATGAGAAACAAACCATGAATTACCTGGTGAAGAATTTCCAAGAGATCAACATCAGATAAATTGACACCTAAAATGCAAGGTACCTGTGCATATTATCCATATAAAACTTCATTGACATCATAGTTTAACAGAACAGAAAAGGAAAACTTGAATTTACATGATAGGTATTTAATTTCTAACACTTAATTTGTATTTATGATATGTAGCTTGCTGATACGGATTGATCATCAACAATGCCTCCATCAGTTAGTCGCATCCTTAATTGCAACAAGTTAAAGGGAAAGGATAAGTAGGATGTAAATGTCCTAATGAACAAAAAACCATGAATTACCTGGTGAAGAATTTCCAAGAGATCAACATCAGATAAATTGACACCTAAAATGCAAGGTACCTGTGCATATTATCCATATAAAACTTCATTGACATCATAGTTTAACAGAATAGAAAAGGAAAACTTGAATTTACATGATAAACAAACAAGGACATGGAAAATATTTGTGGGGATGACCGTCCAACTTTTCCATCAAATTATGAGAAAAACAATAATTCCAGCCCAACCTCGTTGAATTACAAAAGTAAAGCTCATGCAAAAGACGTGAGGGCTTCCTGTGGTTGTTTAGCCTCCATCAATATAAACAGAAGTGTAATGGAGCTTAACTGCAAGAAGTTTGACAACAGCCGGCTTAGGATGAATAAGAATCAAATTCCTGCATAGTTTTAAGAGGCAAAGTCAGGAATCATGATAAGAACAATATCAATGAATATCAGAAGCCAATGGACGAACATCAAGGAATTATTTGCATAATGGTGAAACTTATGTTAAACATCTTTACAGCTAAGAGCCATGCATCTTTGAACAATGTTTTCTGCACTAAATCCACATCCAGAATTATTTATCCCACAGAGAACTACACGCGCATAACAAGAAAAAAAGGGGAAAATTACTTCTTGAAGGATCTCGAATCTTGGGTACGAAAGTCGCAGATCCAACCCCACTGTCTTATTGGCTCAGGATAAGTGTGCAGTAACTGATCCCATCTCTGGCAGGATCTGTTATTTAACAACTAATAAGTTAAACCTAGAATCACAAAAAAGAACCATCTTTAGCGATGTCCAGGGTAAAGCATCAAACGAAACTAGGTATACCAGCTCTTTCTCCGTATCCAAATAGGTGACCGACTTCCCTTCACCAGATAAGACCTAGTCTTTGACATGTCAAATCAGTAGAGAAAATCCCTACTTCCACAAATTTGAACTTGAAAATGTTTTTACCATGTGACGAAGTTCTTCTAGTTTTATTCTTTCATCTGCAGCATGCCGCAAAAGAGAACAATAACTAGAGTTAATCATACTGGCAAAGTTTCAATAGCATCACCGTGAACCTGTAAATTAATGCTATTATTTTGTATGTCCAAATCAGCATATAAGTTATCCTCTGTTCTATTGGCATCAAATCCATGGTTTACTGACTTATGGTATCTTTCACATAGTTGAACGATCATTGCAACTAACATGTTCTCACTTCTCATCAACTATTCATCAAACTGTTGTCATGAGTAATCTCTGTCTCTTTCTATCAGCATTTGTGACGACCTTCATCCTGACGTATTGACATCTCTTTCTAGTGAGTCTGCTGTTCCTCAGGGAATAACTATTTCTAGTAAAGACCAACATCTGACAAGCGGTATATCCAAGACCTCATATTTGCTCAATTATACATACATGAACTTAAGTACCATTTTTCAGCTAAAAAACCAACAATGCAACAATTACAGCAGAAAATGCATGACAAGGAAAAGGTAATGTTATAGGAATCTATGCAGGTACTGGACCTGATCAATAATAGCAAGTGTTCCACGAGCTACAATTGGGATGAATTTCTTATCCACCTGTTGCCGAACCTTGGCATCTGTGAGACACTTCTTACTGATAGATTTAGGAATCGATGATTCAGCGGCAAGATAAAGGAATCCGGAAGCAATGTCAACTAAGTTGTCTTCATTGTCAGTATCATATAATTTGCTATTGCTCTGCATTAATTATACTGTAAATATTATTGACCACTATTGAATGCAGTTGGAGCTGAAAAGTCGGTAGCAGCTAATATAATTGATTACAATTGCAAAAATACACAACCGTGTTCTGTTGAAAACTATTCTTCCATTTGGTTGCAGAAATTTCGGGATCTTGATTTCCATTTGAGGTAGATACTGAAAGATGAGAGAACAAAAAAGAGCCATAAATAGGTTGAAAAGTATATAATGTTTTCCTTGTTTGGCAACTAAGCAAATTTACATGAAAAAAGAAAAGAAAATAAGTATTTTGCATTTCATGCGTATTAATCTATTTTCAATGTTGTTAAACATCGTATTAAAGATCACCCAATACCAAATAAATATCAATTGTCTCATGATAACTTATAATCAAATACATGTATTTCATCTGGGGACAAAACTGAATTACCTTGCACGACAACAAGTTCAGGATCCTCCAGACAATGATCTTCAATCTTTTCACATTTTTTAACTATGGTGCCAAACATTGTGTCCGGCTTGTTATCCATATTTGATCTGTACTTAGCCAAAGCAATCATCCAACAAAGAAAGAAACAATAAGTTTCAACTGCAATATCAAAGTAACTTCTATAAGGAGATATAAGAATTGCAGATACCTGTTCTTCCCGATACTAGGTTCAAAATATAGATTGTGCACACTAGAAGATTGTTGTGGAGGCTTCTTATCACCGATCACTGCAAAATTCACCGGCATTAATACTTTAAATCATTAACCAATCCTTTGAACTGAAATGTCCGTCATGTACTTACCTAAAGAAGTGCATGGATCATGGGCTTCATTAGAAGTAGATTCCTTTGACGTCTGCAAAGAATGATGTAAGGATATAAACCTCCTCTTCTGAATGTAAAAAGGAGGGGCTGACTGGCTTCTTCTTGATCTTTCTTTAGGACTTAAGTTTTTTTTCCAAAACCTTGATAAGGAAAGCAATCTCTTTGTCTTTTATATTCATTCACACTCGAGTCTGAACATGGCCAATATCTGTCTTCAGTTACCACATTGAAATGTTCAGGAGAAAATTTATGATTTAAATTGTATTCTTGAAAGAATTCACGAAACTCTCTACAGGATTCAGTGCAGTCAATTTATTGTTCAGTGTTTGGGTGGTCACGGATGCATTTTTCTTGGCTAGAGCCCCTTGAGATTAGATCAAAACCAAATTGGTTGTCATCTTCACCATCTGAGAAATGCCCAAAGTTAGTTTTTTTTCTCAGATCTGAAGCTCTCTTCTACTTCATTCTTATAACTGAATTGCATAAGAAGGTTTGAGGTTCCCATATTTAAGGACTGATGATGAGAAGCAGAGTTTTCTGCTAGTGTGACTGAACCGAATTGTAGGTCATTCGCTTCAACAGAAACATCTCCACCACATGACAGGAACAACTTTGCAGAAGATATTAAAAAATCAAAATCTCTTGGAATGCCACCTGTTCTTTTGGGATAAATTTGAGAACATGATTCTCCATCCTGCCACAGCGCCTTTGAAAAGGGATGATATGTCTCGCCACTTACTTCCAGCATACTGAAGCTTGCATTTGAGCAACCCTGCTTCTTTTTCTTAAAGCTACCAATTGGAGATTCAACTCCATAGTCAATTTCGATCATCTCCTTGTCTAGTGGCCAGTTTCTTTGGGAGGAGCATCTTTGCAGAAGAGGTTTGCTGATATTCTTCCTGAACTGTGAGCCATTGCAATGTTCACGGTTATCAAAAGGAAAACCACTCCTAGCTGTTTCATCGGTCACATAACTCTCAACCTTAAGGAATTCATTACATAACTTTGAACTTATATTGTTGTACATGAGACAGTTTGGTCTTCCTGAAGCCACGAATCCATTTTCCAAAAAGTAATCTTCGGATACAAAGTTGTTATCAGATGACCAAAGATGCCAATCACTCCTTTGGTTTACAATGAATGCTTCTTTGGAAAGGGAATCACTCCAACTTTGAAAAGAATAGTCAGTCCAATGAGAAAACTTCGTTTCACTCTGTTGATTTTTAAATGGTTTATTCCCATTGTTCTTCTCAAATGGCATGTAACACCCCAACCCGTATCCGACCCGGATACGAGGCCGAAGTGTCACATTGACTTTTCAAACATTTATTCGTATAAAATAGTGAGTAATTTAAAAACTTTGATAACAGTTAACTCATTCAAAACGTTTACAAAATATATCAGAGTTCATACAATTTATATCTTTAGACTACATGCCAACTACACTCTATAACCAGTACATATATTTTCTGATCTGACATTTGGTAAGGAGAACTGACTTGTCTTGCTCCGCATTACTCTTTACTCTTCTCGAAACCTACGTATGAAACAATCACACGCTAAGTCGAAGACTTAGTGAAGCATAAAAACTTATAAGGTAAACGGTAACTAATAATCATACCTAAACAATTCTTACTATCATTTCATACCACTCATACTTTTACATGTAACGAATATATGCATACATATATGTCCTTATCAGTCATATATCTTATCTCATGTTCCTATGATCTCTTATGTCCATATCATATAACATATACCATAACCAATTGCACATACACATACCATGTCATGTAAACCATATATATATATTATCATAAAACACGTACACCCAATCAATTATATTATCATCTTCATTTCTTTCTTTTTTTATCACTATCATTGATTCCTTTCATCATATAGTCTTATAAGTTACCATTTGTACAATCAATATCACACATGAAATTCCACAAGGGAACAAACATATTATCCTATCACTTTATTAATATTATCTATTTTATAGCCCATGATACTCATGTGAGAACTAAAGATATGCGAGTACATAGAGGTTGTGCGCTAATGCTGTCACCACAGCTCATATAATTGCACCGAAGTGCCACGTAGAATTGCACCGGAGTGCCGCGTAGAATTGCACCGTAGTGCCATATAATAATGTCCCGAAGGACCACATATCACTCCTTAAGAATCATATACATATACTAGGGATCAAGTATGTGTCTCACCAGACTTCACACATGTTCCAAAGAATACATATATATCCCGAAGGACCACATATCACTCCTTAAGAATCATATACATATACTAGGGATCAAGTATGTGTCTCACCAGACTTCACACATGTTCCAAAGAATACATATATATCCCGAAGGACCACATAGACCCTCGACTCTTGGCATGCCAACTATACCCCTAGCTCTCATGACACATAACATGGGCATTATCTTTTATATCCTTTTACATATTCATGTAACCATATCATATATTCATATAAGCTCATGGTTTCATTCACATATACATGTAATCACGTAGTTTCTTTCATGTAATTCATGTCACTTTTCATATGAATTCATATTCATATGTCACATAGGATTCACCCTCATGTATCACATATACTTTCTCTTTCATATGGCTCATAACATTTCTCATGTGTTCATATGACATGTAACTCATTGTCATCTTATCATGTTACCACATAGACATATCATCTTACAATACATACAAAACATATCAATACCTATATTCACATATACCTATCAATTCATTATCCTTATTATTATTCTTATCATCACCATTAATCCCTTTTACTTACCATATTCATATCAATAACACATATACCCATGCACACATATAAATCATAACAAATACATACTTCTATGAATTCATGTTTTTCACTATTAGAAATAGACTTATCACAAGTCTTATTTTCCCTTGAACCTCATATACTAGAGAATGTGCCCTCACCTTAGCTTTGCTTTGATTCGATTATAATCCTTCAATTGATCCGGAACGGGATCACGTTCTACATCTACATCATCATACATAGATCTATATTAGTATTATAACTAATATACTCTAATGGTTCACTCTTTAGACCAAGAGAAAAGTCAATTTCATCTTTTAATGAAGGTATGCATCGATGCACTACTGATGCATCGGTGCATAAAATGTATTCGATGTTGTATTATTACTGGGATACATCGATGCATGCCTTATGCATCGATGCACTAATTGCATTCGATGTTTCCTTATTAATGGGATGCATCGATGCACTACTTATGCATCGATGCACAAATTGCATTCGATGTATTAATTTTAAAAGAGTGCATTGATGCACTACCAATGCATCGATACACCTTCAAACAATTTCTGGGTTTTAACATTGATGAATCGGTGCACTATGAATATGCATCGATGCACTCTGCCCAGAACCTCCTTTTGAACCCGAAAAATCCTTCTTTTTGGATTAAATCCTTCATATTTCAACCCCTTTCATATTCCTAACTTTCATATACATAATTAAACTCATTAATATTCATTTATCTCATCTTTAACCTTAATATCCTCTCCTCTTTAGGAATTTCAAGAATCATACCCTATTTTCCACATGTTTCAAATCCAAATCTAACACTTAATACTTCTTAATTAAGCTGATGGCAAGTCAAATCCAACTTTAGAACTTCAAAAACCTTTCTATAACAAAAGTTCATTTATAAACCCTTAATAGAAATTCCTTTCTAATTCTATCTCTTTGGTGTTTTAAACTTATATAAGCTTTCCTTAAGCTTATGTAACCCTCAAAGACTCAAATCTAACTTAAAACTTTCAAGAAATCAAAAGCTAAATCAAACTTACCTTTGCTCTTGGCTTCCACGTGAAGAAGAAGAAGAAAGGAGAAGAGAATTCTGGAGAACTCTCTCCCTTTCCACGTGTATATAATTCCATTTTTTTCCCTTAAATGATCAAATGACCATTTTACCCTTTATTTCCTTTAATAATTACTAAATAACCTTCGTCATATATATCCAATAATCATTGAACTACTTCATTCTTCTACTTTAGTCATCAAATTCTGAAACTTTACAATTTGGTCACTAACCCATAATTTGGGATGTTACAAATCTCCCCTCTTTTTAAAAAAAATTCGTCCTCGAATTTTCACTGCAAATCCTGAAAAGGACATATCTTCTAACGTTCTCCTGCTGCTTTCTGAACTTAATCTTTTGTATCATCTTTAATAACTTGGTTCTTATCTTTTCAATTATTCGACTACCTTTTTACTTTATATCTCCTATCATGTCACTTATCAGATAGACAATAACATTAATTCTTATTACTCAAACTCATAAATCAATCAAATTCCTTGCCAATCTTCAATTGTCTTTCAAGAATCACCAAACTTTTATTTCATCCTTACTTGACTGACTCCAAAACTTCCTTAATACATATAAATCTTTATTCATTTCTCTGTCTACATCCACTTGACCAAGAAACATAACCTTAAATCTTCATCATAACTGATTAAACATACACTTTGCATAACTAAACAATTTCTCATATATTTATCTCCTTGCCTATATCATATTTATATGATCAAAATATACAACCACATCCAGATTTGTATCTCATTTGATTAACTTACTTTATGTTTCCTTCAAATCTGATAATTCTAACATCCATGCCATTACAGCTAATTAATAACAACTTTTCAATCTAGGGCGTAAGCGTTGATCAAATTAATCTTACACATCATTTCAGTTAAAATCAACCCAGTGTAATTCACTTATTGAACCCATACTCTCATTCATATACAGTATTATGCCTTGTCTCCTTTATTACCTTCATCGAACCATTCATATACATTCTTTGCAGTCGAAATTATTTCAACAATAGTTTACTCAACTAATCAAATAAACATTCAATCTCATACACCATTTCACTTCCATTATTCAAGCTTAACATTCTAACTTCCTTTATTTATAAACTGATCATTGATGTACCCATATTTAAACTCTTCTTATCAATCCTTAGTTTTACTCAAACATTTGAATCCTCACTTCCTTCACTCTATCACTTTACTATAATCACAGTATACAACTGTATCCAGATTCACTTCATATTTGGTTATCATAACCTACCATATCTTGAAATCTTGTAATTTCAATACATTCCGTCCGATAATCTTGTTAGCCCACGCTAACTCTTTCCATCTTAAATACAAAACCAGTATCTACCTCACTTGATATATTTAAAATACTTCTTATCCTTCACATTATTTAATTTCTAGCAAAACACTTAATCCCTTCCTTGATCTTTATCCATTTATCCTTTTATAATCCGCATTGTCTTATACATAACTAAACCATATCATGTTCTTCATAATCCCATGCTCTTTTATATCACATATATTTATCCATAACTATCACTCCTTATCACATTTTCATTACTTTGATAGTCAACTTTACTCGCACAAAACCTTATTCTTTACCATTCTTATACTTATGTTTTTTCCACTTGTTTAAAAAAAATCACCAGATTTTAATACTTTTTCTGCTTCGATTTACATAACTTCTAAAAGAACTTTTAACCCACTTCACAAGGGTTGTCTTTAACCTTGACTTGTCCTCAATTAACTCTTTGTTTAATCTTTCAAGATCAACCCTACTGTTGGAGTCTGTCGAACTCTCATCTGATTTGATTCTCTGACGGAGAATACAACTAATTCATGTATGGTTTAAAGTTGAACCAGAATCTCTACCTTTCTTTGATGGTGCGAAAATTCTATGAAGCACTAATTCTCTTAATCATCTAAGATTTTATTTCTCTAAACTTTTCGTTCTGAGCTTTTTCTCTTTAAAGATTTAACACAATTAAACATTTCTTGAAACGATAACAAATTCAAAACCAGTAACACTCTTTTAATTTAAGGCGCAAGTCCTAACAAAATATCACATGTATCATTTTTCAGTCGGAATTAACTCAGCAGCAATTCTACTTAGCTTAATAAACTTATAATCATACTCATACAAGGTGTAATTCCTTTGTTTCAAGCTCGTGTATTCCAGTTTCATCTGTTTTATAAACTGGTCATCAATGCACTTATTCTTGAACTCTTATACAATTCTAATCACATCATTTAATCTTTTAACGTTCTTATGGTGACAATTGTCCACCATACTCTAACTTACCAAAGTAGTAACAAAAATACTCAATTCAACATCTCCACTTTGAAGAAATGAAAACCTTCTATCATATCATTCAACCAAAGGTCTATAACAATAGAACCTTCCTCAAATCCACCCTTGAACTTGGGTGCTCGCAACTTTATCAACTAATTTGATACATTCATTATATGAGTTAAAGAAGTATAAATTGAAAACACATCAGAACATTCTTCAATCATGAAGAATAATTTTCCAAATTTTATACAGGCATTTCCTGAGGTGTTCGCTCTTCTCCCTGCCTGGCCAGGGCAGGTGAATGCTATTACCTTCAGGTTTATTACCTTTCACTTCTTTCGAAGCTCTTATTATCATACTTCTATTATCACATACTAATATATTTTTTTTAGCAAGACAGCATACTCCTTACACTATCTGATCAGAATTTTTCACTTTGAGTTGGCATGTACACTTTTTAAAACACTTCTGACTTCGATTTAAGCCTAGAATCGGCTAAACCGTAGCTCTGATACCATTAAATGTAACACCCCCAACCCGTATCTGACCCGGATACGAGTCCGAAGTGTCACATTGACTTTTCAAACATTTATTCGTATAAAATAGTGAGTAATTTAAAAACTTTGATAACAGTTAACTCATTCAAAACGTTTAGAAAATATATCAGAGTTCATACAATTTATATCTTTAGACTACATGCCAACTACACTCTATAACCAGTACATATATTTTCTGATCTGACATTTGGTAAGGAGAACTGACCTGTCTTGCTCCGCATTACTCTTTACTTTTCTCGAAACCTACGTGTGAAACAATCACACGCTAAGTCGAAGACTTAGTGAGGCATAAAAACTTATAAGGTAAACGGTAACTAATAATCATACCTAAACAATTCTTACTATCATTTCATACCACTCATACTTTTACATGTAACGAATATATGCATACATATATGTCCTTATCAGTTATATATCTTATCTCATGTTCATATGATCTCTTATGTCCATATCATATAACATATACCATAACCAATTGCACATACACATACCATGTCATGTAAACCATATATATATATTATCATAAAACACGTACACCCAATCAATTATATTATCATCTTCATTTCTTTCTTATTTTATCACTATCATTGATTCATTTCATCATATAGTCTTATAAGTTACCATTTGTACAATCAATATCACACATGAAATTCCACAAGGGAACAAACATATTATCCTATCACTTTATTAATATTATCTATTTAATAGCCCATGATACACATGTGAGAACTAAAGATATGCGAGTACATAGAGGTTGTGCACTAATGCTGTCACCACAGCTCATATAATTGCACCGAAGTGCCACGTAGAATTACACCGGAGTGCCGCGTAGAATTGCACCGAAGTGCCATATAATAATGTCCCGAAGGACCACATATCACTCCTTAAGAATCATATACATATACTAGGGATCAAGTATGTGTCTCACCAGACTTCACACATGTTCCAAAGAATACATATATATCCCGAAGGACCACATATCACTCCTTAAGAATCATATACATATACTAGGGATCAAATATGTGTCTCACCAGACTTCACACATGTTCCAAGGAATACATATATATCCCGAAGGACCACATAGACCCTCGACTCTTGGCATGCCAACTATACCCCTAGCTCTCATGACACATAACATGGGCATTATCTTTTATATCCTTTTACATATTCATGTAACCATATCATATATTCATATAAGCTCATGGTTTCATTCACATATACATGTAATCACGTAGTTTCTTTCATGTAATTCATGTCACTTTTCATATGAATTCATATTCATATGTCACATAGGATTCACCCTCATGTATCATATATACTTTCTCTTTCATATGGCTCATAACATTTCTCATGTGTTCATATGACATGTAACTCATTGTCATCTTATCATGTTACCACATAGACATATCATCTTACAATACATACAAAACATATCAATACCTATATTCACATATACCTATCACTTCATTATCCTTATTATTATTCTTATCATCACCATTAATCCCTTTTACTTACCATATTCATATCAATAACACATATACCCATGCACACATATAAATCATAACAAATACATACTTCTATGAATTCATGTTTTTCACTATTGGAAATAGACTTATCACAAGTCTTATTTTCCCTTGAACCTCATATACTAGAGAATGTGCCCTCACCTTAGCTTTGCTTTGATTCGATTATAATCCTTCAATTGATCCGGAACGGGATCACGTTCTACATCTACATCATCATACATAGATCTATATTAGTATTATAACTAATATACTCTAATGGTTCACTCTTTAGACCAAGAGAAAAGTCAATTTCATCTTTTAATGAAGGTATGCATCGATGCACTACTGATGCATCGGTGCATAAAATGTATTCGATGTTGTATTATTACTAGGATGCATCGATGCATGCCTTATGCATCGATGCACTAATTGCATTCGATGTTTCCTTATTAATGGGATGCATCGATGCACTACTTATGCATCGATGCACAAATTGCATTCGATGTATTAATTTTAAAAGAGTGCATCGATGCACTACCAATGCATCGATACACCTTCAAACAATTTCTGGGTTTTAACATTGATGCATCGGTGCACTATGAATATGCATCGATGCACTCTGCCCAGAACCTCCTTTTGAACCCGAAAAATCCTTCTTTTTGGATTAAATCCTTCATATTTCAACCCCTTTCATATACATAATTAAACTCATTAATATTCATTTATCTCATCTTTAACCTTAATATCCTCTCCTCTTTAGGAATTTTAAGAATCATACCTATTTTCCACATGTTTCAAATCCAATTCTAACACTTAATACTTCTTAATTAAGCTGATGGCAAGTCAAATCCAACTTTAGAACTTCAAAAACCTTTCTATAACAAAAGTTCATTTATAAACCCTTAATAGAAATTCCTTTCTAATTCTATCTCTTTGGTGTTTTAAACTTATATAAGCTTTCCTTAAGCTTATGTAACCCTCAAAGACTCAAATCCAACTTAAAACTTTCAAGAAATCAAAAGCTAAATCAAACTTACCTTTGCTCTTGGCTTTCACGTGAAGAAGAAGAAGAAAGGAGAAGAGAATTCTGGAGAATTCTCTCCCTTTCCACGTGTATATAATTCCATTTTTTCCCCTTAAATGATCAAATGACCATTTTACCCTTTATTTCCTTTAATAATTACTAAATAACCTTTATCATATATATCCAATAATCATTGAACTACTTCATTCTTCTACTTTAGTCATCAAATTCTGAAACTTTACAATTTGGTCACTAACCCATAATTTGGGATGTTACATGGCATATCTTCATGTTCCATAAGAAACAAATTATCTATTGCTAGTTTGTCCAGTGAAGAAGATAGTTGATATTTTTTAGTCCTTTTTCTTGTTGCAAATTCCAAGTCCATCAATGATCCATCAAAAAAATCTGCAGAAATAAGGGTAAAAAATAAATGAACATGCTAAGAGATAGCATAGCAAAAGGCAATAGCTTTCTGTGAAAGCATGATTGAATATTCATTCACATTAATGTCCAAAGAAAATGTTTGGTGAATAACATATTGAAGGAAACCTTCCGCAACGTATGAACTCTTGTCATCTTCCTTCAGGGTTTCAGCTTGTCCCAATCCATCAGCTGCACGAATTAAAGATTATATAGAAACATATAATAACTTGACAGCTTCATGAGTCGTTATAAATAAAACCATAATAAGCACTTTTTTTAACATGATAGAGCATACCACAACCAATATTTTTCCTCCAGAGGTGTTGAATTGCCTTCTCAATGAAGGTAAACATAGGTTTCCAATCCTGGCAAGAAAGAAACAAAGAGACCGAGAGAAGAATAATATATTTGAGGCTGAATTAACAACTTTCTGAAGTTCCTAACAGCCCGAGTGCCCAACATTTCATGTTATTAGAAAAATGCTAAAAATAAACTCACAACTGAGAATTAAATATGTGAAAGTTGAATTATGACATTACATAGATGACTTTTCAAGGTAACCACACAACCTAAATAATGTTTTAATCCCACAATTCTTGAACACGAAGTATACCCAAATGGCAATAAAGTGAAGAGTCCATCATCATATACTGTCATTTATTATTGAAGGGATGATGTCACATTTGGCTGCTGTAATTTTTAAAAAATTCACTGTGGCACCTGTACTTTAAAAGTGTGTAACACGGTATCTATACTATCATTAGTCTATTAATATTGCAATAGATATTGACAACATCAAGGTGGATGACATTGTTGTCATCCAATCACATAATGAGACATTGTACAAATTTGCCAAATCCCCTGGCAACATAATTGGTTGAATTTAATTAAAATGCATATAAGGCACTCGAGGGTCAACTTTTGAAAACACCAAAAATTTAGTACTTTTTCTCTTCTTTTCTTTCTTTCTCCCGCTGATTTACCAACTTTCAGGCCAAATCCAGCCAATCACTAGGCAAAGGAGGCCGGAGACAACATTGGCAGCTTGGAATAGGCTTGAACAGCCCAGTTCCACTGTGATTCAAACCTCTGGCTAGATCTAGCTAGTAACTAGTCAGGCTCGGCAAGAAAGTTAATAGATAGGGGAGAGAGAGAGAAGGGGGATGGGAGAGAAAGTAGAAAAAAAATATGGAACTTTTAATTTTAAAAGTAAAACATATTATATATGTATATATTAAAATAATGATGTCTGGTCTGATGGAATGGCATTATCTGCCATGAATCAACATGTTACTAGATGGAGACTGCATCAGCTGTCTCATTTAATATTGTTACTAGATTTTCTCACAGAATGATAGCATATAAGACACATTACACATTTTAAAGTAGAGGTATTGTGCATCATAGGAAAGTTCCATAACAAAAGGGACTGGTCACAAATCAAAATAACGTACAAGGGCCAAATATGACATTATACTATCATGGAAAGTAGTATTGAGTATTTTGTCCATGCTTCTATGCAATAGAAACATGCAACCCCAGTTTGTTCTAAGATCATAGAAAAGTTTAAATTAGTTCTCAAATGTTTAGAATAAACATGATTTTGAACTGTATACTAAGGTTACTCAAAAAGAAATGCAAATTAAATCACAGTTCATAATTAGACTGAATATTACCTTGAATTCAACATATGTCTTTGATGGTTCAAAGGTTAAATCATAGAAAGATGGAGGGCAGCTAATATTCATTATGTAGGATGAAACCACTTGAGATCTACTCCTCTTCCCATTCTTGGTCCAGATATTAGTTTTCTCTGGATGTAAAGACTCGAAACTAGTGGCCAAGTTGTTCAGCAACTTATGAATGGGACCTATGCAGCTAAATGGGGTTATGCATGGAATTTATGCATTTTAACATTTGCTTCAGTGGAAGATTTAAAGGAGGCGTGGTCGAGCAGATTGGAGGAATTATCATTTTGGTTTGAATGGCTTGATACGCTTTTGAATGAGGAAGGTTTACTGATGTCTTTTTGCTCGGTTGAACTAGTTGGAGTTCCCTTATTTTGTTGGAATGTCCAGTTTATGGAAAACTTATTACAAGGAGAGGGAAGCTGATTTGCATTCATGAATCGACGGTTAGAAGAGAGGATATGGTGGCTGCAAGGGCACTGTTGAGGGTGGCTAGTCCGTTTGATATACCAGAAACAGTCACACTGGGATCGTATGGGAGATCATATAAGGTTAAAATTAATTTGGGCTCGGTTAGTATGAGACAGAATGATTTCTCAATAGCGACTTCAGCGGTAGACGACGGTGGAGTGTACAGGGAAGCTGCAGCATCTGAGGAGGGAGAAGATCGATGTTCAGGAGGGGTTGGTAGGCTCGACATATTAGTTGAGGATACTAGAGGTAGAGTAGACACGTGGTTGGAAGGTGATGATTGTGCTGCTGTGGCTGGCGACTGTGGGGGTCAACAATTAATGTGGCAGGTAGGAGAAGGTCAACCTAGTGGAGCAAGGGTGTCAGAATTACCAGAAGAAGGTTTGAATTTAAAAGGGGATTATCTGGGCCTCGGGTTGAGGAATAATTTATGTTATGGTAGTGAAAAAGCTCAGTTAGATGACTTGAGTGAGCTCATCTAAAAAAATACAAGATTTTCACCAACTGAGCCGGCTGTTAACTTAATTAAATTGGGTTACGGTAAACAGAAAGAATCTCGGGTGGAGATACAAGGTAATCTGCAGCAGACAGTTTTGGATGAATCTAATATGCAGAATTTGGTTCATGTTAGGCCTGACTTCAATTTAAAAAGGATTGTTGGAGGATACAATGATAGAGTACAGTCTCAATTTAGAGGGATTTCAAAAAATTATAATGTTGAAGTGTTAGAGGAACTAGTTGATCTGGATAAAGAAGCAAGAGGTATGGATGAAACAGAGGTGGAAAGGGAAGCCATACCAATCCAAAAGGTTGAGAATCAGGTGCTGGGAGCCAATAAGGAGACTTTTTCAAATGGTTGAAGGAGTTAGAGTCCTTTGGATCACATGTCTAAAAGTTTGTGCCTTACGAGATGGAAGATAATTATGAGGATGAGGTTCGGTTGCGGGAAAAGAGTATAGGGGGATTGAATGAAGTGTCGAGTAGGGATCAGAAAGTTGGTTTGGGAGAAGAGCGGTTGGTTGGTTTGAGAAATCGTGAAGGGGACCATGCAGTTTTACCACTGCATTATACATATTTAGTGAGGGATGAAGTTCCAGTTAAAAATAGAGTTGTTCTAAAGAAGAAGAAAATGGCCAAGGTTGTTAATCAAGTGGACCTTAATGCAGGTTGCTCTTCAACTCTATGTGAAAGGGGGAGAATTTCAGTGAATCACAATGGATGTGAATAAATTGAGTCTATAAATTCTAACTTAATGTTGTTAAATCATAATCCAAAATTTTCACAGAGTCAGTCAAGAGGTAGATCATTGTTTCCTCATAGAAGATCGCTTTCTTCTAAAAGTGTGCCTTTAGAGAGGAGGAGAATGGCCAGCTACAGAAGATTTTATAGCAGATCTAGGGCGAGAAACTACTGGTTTGGGAATGAACAGAAATGAATTTCTGTTAGAAAGGATGATCTTCAGCAACTCTCTTCAGAAATATTGGGAAGTGGGATGGATAATGATATTAATTGTTCTGACTCTTATCAGAACTCTTCTGTGGCCCCATTTATTCAGTATTGCTCTTCAGAGGGTTTGACAATAGCTCTTTTTTCTGCTTCAGGGATAGGAAGAACTAAAAGAATGGAGATAAGAGTTTTAACTAGGGAAACAGTGAATCTGGTTAATTCTCCTATTATCTTTTCACCTCAATTCTCGAAGGTGGTGGAGGAAGCAATGGATATATGGGAAGTTTATCAGATGTTAGGCATTTCGTTCAAGGAAGGGAAGAATACTTTCATTGAGAAAATCTTAAGCCTTGAAAAGGGGTCGGAGTCAGTAAGGGATGGATGATTTGCAGGTTCGCATGATTTATTGTTTGGAGGGTTGGGTTTTGGTTGTAGGAGTAAAGTCTTTCTATGTATAGATTAAGCATTTTGTCTTGGAATATTAGAGGTTTAGGGAAGGGAAAAAATATGTTGTTGTCACAAGGCTAGTAAAGAAGGTTAGACCAGTCTTGATTTTTATCCAAGAATCAAAACTTGAAAAATGTCATGTGTCGATTACGAGGAGGATTGGAGGAAATTTATTGAAGTGATGGTGTCTCCAGCATAGGGGTCAAAGGGTGGGCTGATTTCTATGTGGAATGATAAGATGTTCAAAGTCACAAAGAAGTATATGCACAGTAGGTTCTTGGCACTGGTGGGGAAATTTATGAATGATCAAGAGGAATCCACTTTTATTAATGTCTATGGTCCTGTTATCGAGTCTGAAAAAGAGGAATTTTACGGGGAGCTGCTAGATTTTGTTCTTTCGAATGAATCTATCGTTTGTATAAGCGGTGATTTTAATTCGTATTTTGATCATGAAGAAAAGATAGGGAAATCCCATAATTGGCATACAATAGATATTTTTAGATCTTTTGTGCATCAAGCTAATCTTCTTGATATGCCAATGTCAGGAGGGACTTTCACATGGTGTAGCAATAGAGAAGATTCTACATGGGTAAGATTAGATCGATTCCTAAGTAGTGGCAGATTCCTAAACAGTTTTCCTAAAAGCTCACAGTCCCTTCTACCGAATTCTATTTCTGACCACAATCCAATTTTGCTGGAAGATGTTAGTATCAATTGGGGGCCCAAACCTTTTAGATTATTTAATTTCCTTTTAGAGGAAAAAAGTTTCGATGGATGAGTTGAAGACTTAGTGACAATTGAGAAGAAGAAGAATAATAATGGGGGGGTTTTCAGGATGTTACATGCTGTAAAAAATCAGATCAAAAGATGGCCTGGAAGTAGTCATTTAGGGATGTCATACTCTATTTCGATGCTCGAAGGGAAGATACATGACCTGGAAAAAAAGTCCCAAGGTAAAACCTTATCTAAGAGTGAGTGTGATAAGTGGGTTGACTACAAAAAAGAGTTGTGGAGGTTGTTAAGGATTGAGGAGAGTATTTGATGTCAAAAGTCCAGAAGTAGGTGGATTAAAGATGGTGACATAAATACTAGGTTTTTTCACCTAAGTGCTATGAAAAGGAATAGAGTAAACAATAGTATTTCATTGAAATTTGATGGAGAATTAATTTCGGATGCAGGGAATATAAAAGGATGTGTGTTTAATTTTTTTAAGTCTGCTTACAATTCTAATTCTTCCATGGAGGTAGATGACCTCAATTTGGATTTTACACAGTTAAGAGCAACTCAAAGCGCATATTTGGAGGAGGAATTCTCGGAGTAAGAAGTTTGGCAAGCAATTTCTTCTTCGAATAGTTCAAAAGCTCCTGGTCCGGATGGTTTTACCATGGGTTTTTACAAGAAATACTAGAAAAATCTTAAGAATCAGATTATGGAGTTCATGGGGTTAATCATGCATTTATTACCTTGATTCCTAAGAAAGGTAATCCCGAGAGTATTGAAGACTATAGACCTATTAGTCTTGTGGGTAGCCTGTACAAAATACTATCAAAAGTTCTTTCTAAGAGACTAATATCGTGCGTCAATGATATTATTAGTCTGTCACAATTTGTGTAACATCTTCCATACCGGGTTAATGATCAAATTATGGAATTTTAAAATTTAGTGACCAAAGTAGATAAATTGAATAGTTGAAAGATTTAATGGGAATGTTTCATGTAGGATGGATAAGCAAAGAAGGGAAAGTAAGAGGGTAAATGAGTCTTTTAGCAAGAGAAATAATTAAATATTACTTAAGGTTATTTAATAAACCACGTGGAAGTTAGTAGAGAAGGCAAAAGTTTCCAGATTTCTCTTCTTCTTCTTCTTTCTTCTTCTTCACCGTGAAGACAAAGCTAAAGGTGAGTTTTCTTGTTAATCAAATTCTTGATGAATTTAAGGTTGCTTATTGATCATTAGATGATAACTAAGCTTAAGGAAATCTTAGGATATCTTAAAACAAAAGATGATGGGGTTAGGAAGGATTAAAGAAAGGAAGTAGAAAAGTAAAATCTTGGATTAGAGTTCATAATAAGAATTAGAAGTGGGATTTGACTTGTCATCAAGCTAATTAAGGAATAGGAAGTGTTAGAATTAAAATTTGAACATGTTAGAATTTGAGTGAGATTCTTAGATTATATATGGAAGATTGGATTTCTAAGTTTTAGAAGTATGAAATGGATAATAATTAGTTTAAATAAGAGTATACAAGTTAGGGATATAAAAGGAGGTGAAATATAAAGTGTAGAGAAGATTATAAAGAGATTTTCGTGCTTAAAATGACATTTCTGGGCTATGTGCATCGATGCACATTCAATATGCACCGATGCATCAAGGATAAATCCCAGAAATTGTTCAAGGTGTATCGATGCACATGAAGTGTATCGATGCACTCTTTTAAAATAAAAACATCGAATGCCATCAGTGCATCGATGCATAAGGAGTGCATCGATGCACCTCCTTAAATATAAACATCGAATAGGATTTATACATCGATGCATGGTGTGGTGCATCGATGTATACCTTCATTAAAAGATGAAAATGGATTTTCTTTTAGCCCAAGAAATGATAGTTTAGAATACATTAATTAGTATATTGATTAGCATCAATGAATTACTCTGTAGATACCGAGCCTAAAAAAGTTCCAGAACAATTGCCTCGTAAGATCGATCGAGGAAAAAGCAAGGAAATATAGGTGAGTGCATATGCATAGCATGAATATAGTATTCTATTCAGTTCTAGACTTGTGATAAGTCTAGATTCAATATTTTGATAC